CCAGATGTTCTTTTTCTCCAAGAAACTAATTATGTTCTTCAAAACACCCTATCCTAAAATTGACTTTGTTCCCCCATCAATTCCAGGCTCCAAGCTCTTCAAACGCCCAAGGAGTGGCGATCCTACTGGCCAAAAAAATAAACTTCATACTAGACTCAAAACTCACAGATCCCATGGGCAGGTTTTTGTTTTTAAAAGGCTCTATTGAAGGGAAGAAATGGACCCTTGCCTCCATCTATGCTCCCAACATCAACCAAATCCCCTTTTTACATTTGACCTTCTCCAAGCTACAAAATTTTGCAAAGGGAGACTTGGTGATCGGGGGGGACCTGAATTGTGTTGCTGATGATACTTTAGATTGTTCCTCCATTAAAAGAGACAGGAATCAACTTTCACCTAACTCTACAAAATTGGCTAAACTATCTGAGCTCTACAATCTTTGCGACACCTGGAGATCTTTGCACCCGACAGATCGTGAATACTCGTATTTCTTGGCTAGACACGACATATTCACCCATCTTCATTATATTTTGATTTCATCTTCACTGACTCCTCATCTTCACTCAGCCAATATTGGACCCAGGCACTTATCGGACCATGCATGGATTGATTGCCACCTTCAAGCAATGCAGAATAATTTGATAGACAAACAATGGGCAATGGACACATCCATTTTATTGAATACATCAATTAAGAATAAAATAGAAAAAGACATTGTGAATTTCTTTAAGGATGACGCTGTTGCTGAGACGGATCACACTATCCAGTGGGATGCTATAAGAGGCTGTATAATTTCTGCAACTTCATACCTGAGAAAAGAAAAAAACAGATTGAGGAATGAGACTTTAAGACATATAGTGTCTTTGGAAAGAGTACATAAAAGGACTAGGGGAAAAGCAATATATAAGAAACTTCAAGCGGAACATAAAATCTTAGACTCTCTTGAACTTACACAAATTCAAAGAAATCTATTAATCCTGAAACAAATTTTTTGGCATAAATCTGCCAAAAACATCTGTCTTCTTGCTTGAAGGGCAAAAGGAAAAAAGCAATGGTGGTGGCATCAAAAACCTCAAAAAACACTGCTCTTGCATTTGCACAATATTATGAGTATATCACTCTAATCATGCTTTGCAAGAGAAATCTTCCATAATCCAGCAAATGTTGACAATTTGATCTCTTTGAAACCCAGCTTGTACTTCTGGCAGTTCTCTATCCACGTACTACTGAAGCTTAGCTTGTAGGCTCTTGAGCATGACCTTGCTAGCGTGTGAAATGAGTGTAATTGTGCGATATCTTGAACATTCCTTGGCATTGCCATTCTTTGCAATTGGAATGTAAACTGACCTTTTCCAATCCTGTGGCCACTGTTGCATTTTCCAAATTTGCTGGCATATTCAGTGCAGCACTTTAACAGCATCATCTTTTAAGACTTTGAATAGCTCAGCTGGGATACCATCACCTCCACTAGCTTTGTTGTTAGTAATGCTAGAAAGGCCCATTTGACTTTGCACTTCAGGATGTCTGGCTCAAGGTCAGTGATCACACCGTCATGGTTCTTGCATAGTTCTTTTGTGTATTCTTGCCACCTCTTCCTTATCTCCCCTGCTTCTGTTCGGTCCCTACTGTTTTTGTCCTTTATAATAGCCAGCTTTGCACAGAACGTTCCCTTGATTTCTCCAATTTTCTTGAAGAGATCTCTAGTCCTTCCCATTCTGTTGTTTTCCTCTATTACTTTGCATTGTTCATTCAGGAAAGCCTCCTTATCTCTCCTTGCTGTACTCTGGAAATCTGCATTCAGTTTGGGGTAATGATTAAGTGCGCGGACTCTAATCTGGGAGAACCGGGTTTGATTCCCCACTCCTCCACTTGCACCTGCTGATGTGACCTTGGGTCAGTCACAAGCTCTGGCACAGCTGTCCTTGAAAAAGAGCAGTTTGTGTCAGAGCTCTCTCAGCCCCACCCACCTCACAGGGTGTCTGCTGTGGGGAGGGGAAGGGAAAGGAGTTTGTAAGCCTCTCTGAGACTCCAAGTGAAGGGCGGGGTATAAATCCAATCTTTTCTCTTCTTCTTCTAAATGTTTCCTTCTCACCTTTGCCTTTCGCTTTCCTTCTTTCCTCAGCTATTTGTAAAGCCTCATCAGACAGCCACTTTGCTTTCTTGCATTTCTTTTCCTTTGGGAAGATGTTGATTGCTAGCTCCTGTACAATGTCACAAACCTCCGTCCATAGTTCTTCAGGCACTCTGTCTATCAAATCTAGTCCCTTAAACTTATTCTTCACCTCCACTGTATATTAATAAGGGATGTGATCTAGGTCAAATCTGAATGGCTTTGTGATTTTCCCAACTTTCTTCAGTTTAAGCCTGAATTTTGCAATGAGTAGCTCATGATCTGAGCCATAGCTCCAGGTCTTGTTTTTACTGACTGTATAGAGCTTCTCCATCTTTAACTGCAAATGATATAATCAATCTGGTGATGTCCATGTGTAGAGTCGCCTCTTAGGTTGTTGGAAGAGGGTGTTTGCTATGACCAGTGTGTTCTTTTGACAAATCTCGGTTAGCCCAGTTTCATTTTGTTTTCCAAGGCCAAACTTGTCCATTATTCCAGTTACCTTTTGACTTTCTACTTTAGCATTCCAGTCCCCTATGACAGAATACTCACATATAATTAATTTGAGGGTGCCTCTGTCTTCTCTGGCATAGCAACACTTTTCATCCTACCTAAATCTCATTTCTCAGGGCAGGCTTCACATTATAATCTGTAACCTGTAAAATGGGTTTTTCCCCTAACCTGACTTTGATGCCAAAAGTCAGAGGTCAGGAGTGTCAAACTCGCTGTCTCGTTTATCATGTAATTTGGGGAAATTCCAGGGGGGGGGGAGTGTGAATGTGTTTGAGTGAGAATGGCTTTATTGTAGGACAATGCGTCTCATGTGACTTCTGAAGATACCTCCATTTCCCAGGGATGTCCGCCAGATTGCCTTGGTCTTTTTTTTTGATTGCTGGGTAACAAATGGAAATTTACAAGGAGGGGGATTAGAGCCTTGCGGGTTTTATTTATTTATTATTAAGTTTATACCCCGCCCTCCCTGCAAAGCAGGCTCAGGGCGGCTTACATTCATTAAAACATATTACATAATATATAGATAAAATCTGATAAAATCAACATAAAACAATTCAATTTCAATAATAATAGTAACAAGTAATACGTGCTGTCGATCTTTCGCTAATTGTACAAGACGGCGTACTTTTTGTAAGTGTTTTAGATTCTCGATGTTCTTCACACAGGGCGGCCATTGCGGCCGAGAGTTGGTGGTAATAGTGGAGGCGGTTCCTAGTTGAAAGCCTGGTGGAAGAGCTCCGTCTTGCAGGCCCTGTGGAATTGTGCAAGGTCCGGGAGCTCATTCCACCAGTATGGAGCCGCCACTGAGAAGGCCCTGGCCCTGGTGGTAGCGAGCCTGGCGTCCTTAGGACCAGGGAGGGTCAATCGATTTTGAGACCCCAACCATAGTGCTCTCTGCGATATATATGGGGAAAGGCAGTCCCTCAGGTATGTCGGACCCTGGCCATATAGGGCTTTATAGGTAAGTACCCAGGTGGGACCAATTGGGAGAGAGCCACTATCTCCCCATCCCACACCCAGTCACACACGCCAGGTCTACATTCTGCTCTTGCAGGAAGTCCCTGAGGACCATGGTCTTGTTATTTATAGACCTAGCATTACACAACACAAATGACGGAGGGGGGTCCAGCATCCTAGCCCCACTGCCGACATCCCTTGGGATGGGATGCAGGCTGGAAGAGGGCCGAGCTTTTCTATTTCTTCACCTCCTTCCCTTACTACCCTGCCTGCTCCCACCGCTATACTTTCCCCTCCCCAGGAGCACCAGAATCCCTTGGCCTGACATCATCACCCCTCGTGGTCTCCGCAGACGTTCAGACCACTAGTAGGGCAGACAATGGACTTTCAGTATGATGGACACCGGTGGTGACTGCAACACACACTGCTGCTAAATTACACAAATTTCATAACCTATCCTACCAAAACTCATCCAAAAAATTGATTGCTAATAATACACAAGTTATCTGGCCAGTAAATAAAGGCCAGATAAAAATTATTCTATATATATTTTTCTTCTTCTAATTTCCTATCCCTCCATCAATAATTAATCAAAAAAGCAATCACAGTAATTAATTTCAAATTGGTTGGAGGTCCTATAACTAATTTCAACTAGTTGGAGGTCTTATGACTAATAACAGACCATATTCCACAAAAAGTTAACCCAATGAGATTCAACTACTCTGCTTTGATATCTATCAAACATTAACAATTAAACATTAGACCATGTCTAGTAAGTAACTCAATTGGGCTAGGCGGGAATGAATGGCCAGTGCGACTGGAGGGGACTATGTTTGAACCAGGTATAATTTGGGGTTTTCGTGCCAGAATCTCAGTTCTGACTCAACAACGTTCTTAGCGTGGATCATCTTTATTCTTCAATTAACAAATCACCTTCAGTGGGTGTTGTTGGGAGTAACTTTATCCAAGAGTCTGACAAGGAGGAGAGGAATTAATTTCCCCCCAGAGTGCTGAGGGCCTGATTAGGAAGTCATGTAAGTGGCCTCGGGTGGTAGACTGGAGAGCCTTCTCCCCAGCTCCGTGTTGCCGATCCAAATTGGGCCTCTGTTGTGGGCTTGGGACATGAGTTCCAGTCTCCTTGTCAGAAAGTCAGATAATGTGTAGTTCAGTCCTCATTCTGGTTGTTTCCCCCTGACTGCCGACAGTGCAGTAGCCTGGTCTCATGCTCCTTAGTCCCTTTTCACTGTCTTGATTCTGGTACCAGGCGGTGGGCAAGTGAGCATGGCCTCCACAGCAAGCGTGCATGTGTGCCCTAGCTGCAGTATCCAAATTGTGGGAGAGACGAGCAATTTAAACTATTTGTAGGCTGAATAGGATGGCCAGTTGACCATTGTACCGATTCGTATGTTTGACTTCTCAGGATTGGTCCCAAAGACGAATTCTTCCACTGTTCCAAATGTAACTTGTGTTTGGCTCTGACTCTCCAAGGGAATCACAAGGTATGAAATGGAGGATTTTAAATGTTAATAAACAGTTTAAAAGGAAGCAAAAGATACCCGCCGGGAGTGACCAGTGAACCAAAGCCCGGATCATGTCTGTAGGGGCCAGTCTTGTGCAAATTATGGGGGCGTTGGTTTTGGCCTTCGTGTTACTATAGACCACTGCAGTGCAGGACAGCCCCTCCCCAGGGTGTGGGGAATTAGCTTGCTTTCCAGTCTTGCCATGGAAGCCAAGGGAAGCGAACTGCCTGAGGCATGCCGAGAAGGGGCCTTCAAGGCTTCTGTTGAGAACGGCCTCCCTGCCCTCTCCCAGAGTGCTCTCGCAGCTTTCTTCAAAAGTGTGGAGGCATTGGGCATGCATGGCTGCTGTGTGGGGAGCAGAAGCTGCAGCACCCTAACTATTGCTTTGCAAGGTCTGGCTGAGCTGGGTGCAAGGAAAGGGAGAGAGGCTCTTGGAGGCTGGCAATGACTGTATCAGCTGTCAGCACCATCTGTTAAGGAAGGCTGCTTGAACCTTGGAGGGAAGGGAAGCTTAGCTGATCCTAGAGCTTTTTGCTGTGCTCAGACTTCCCTGTGCCCCTAGTGGCTGCAGCCAGGACTGCATTTTTTAAAAAGAAAAGAAAACTTAGCTGGAGGATGACGCTTGGCTTCAAGGGCCCCCTTCAAAGGCTTTCCTTGAGCTGTGCCCGGGGCAGGCAGCCCCCCCTCCCCCGCCCTCTTGGTATACCATTGTTGTAGTCTTTAACGGGTGTATCTGCTTTAAGGAGGAAGAAATCTCATAACAAAGTTTGCTCCTATAACATCTCTTTCTTTTTGTTTACACAGTGCATTGAAAATGTCTCAAGGCAAGATTGTCCCATATGTTTGGAGGTAACTTCCTTAATATGTCCATGTGCTGTTTCATTTGAAAGTGTTTCCTTTGATGTATGTGAAAAACCTCATTCTTGTCTCTTAGGACATTCATACCTCACGTGTGGGCGCTCACGTCCTGCCCTGTGGACATCTTCTTCATCGGTGAGGCTGTTTCTTGAGAAGTGAACATTAGAAATTGGGAATGATCCGGTTACTACAAAACCTAGGACAGATCCCCGGGTGAAAGGTGCCGGGGAGATTTTCTGACCCCAGTTGCACTTCTGTTGGCAGAATGCACGGAGAAGCAGCTGTACCTGGGAGGGAAAATGGCTCAGTGGTAGAGCCTCTGCTTGCCACGCAGAAGGTCCCAGGCTCAATCCCCGGCAGCATCTCTAGTTAAAAGACCTGGCAGGAGGTGATGTGAAGGACCTCCGCCTGAGACCTTGGAGAGCCGCCGCCAGACTGAGTGGGCAGACCAAGCCGGGGGGGGGGGGTCTGGATTCAGTAGAAGGCAGCTCCTTTGTGTTCATGTGGGCAACTTTGTCCTCTTTGGGCATTCCGTTCACTGTTTGCAGCAGTAGAGACCGTGTCTGCAACCCACCATGCAGCCAGTTGCTGCTTACAGCTTGATTCCTGTAAACAAAACACACGCCCAAAAAAGCACCTGGAGTGCCCAACTCCAGAAACCTCTCTGCCTTTTGTGCAGTTGGGGTAATTTTGCTGCCCCCAAGTCCACTTAACGTTTTTTGGGGAAAAATACTCTGTGAGTTCACTAAGGAAACACTGGTCCAGGGAAGCAGTTTAAGTGCTCTGGAGACAGCCTGATAACTGTTTACCTCATCACAGGGAGATACAGTAAAAAAAAAATAATAATCCCAAGATAGGAAAAAAGTTAGAAATTAATTTAAGTTGTTTTCCTTTAAAATTCATGGAAGTTCGTTAGTTTCAAGACAGTTTTTGTTGCTTTGAATTAAAAAAAACACAGCCCTGTAAAGGGGCCACCCTGCCTTGAGTGGCTTATGAGTACGCAGAAGAGGAAGGGTGGGTTCTGTGCGGGAGAAGCACAAAGCCTCATCTCAAAGTGTGTTTACAGGTTCTGGATGACTCGGCACTGGGAAACGCAATGTTTTCTGCCACCACAAAGAAAAAAGTCTCTGTGGCAATTTTTCTACCCCACAATGCTTTAGGAATTTGGCTTGGTCCCGTCGCCACAGAAACCAATATGGCAACCGGAGACGAGTGCCGGAGCAAGCGGACACGATCGAAAGTTTAAAAAATGCTTCTAAAAGATGCCAAACAAAGCATGGGTGGAGGGGGAACTCAAGACCCACCCCCAGTAAAACCTAAAAAGCAGTTTTAAATCAAGAAGAAAAGACTTTAAGCTAAGCTAAACCGAAGAAAATCTTAACGAAGTCAGAAACTGCACGCTAGTATAAAGGCAACTAAAATTGTTGAACTTTTTTCCTGTTTTGGAAAACTTACTTCTTGTTGATATTATGGTGGGGAGAGGGTGGAAAACGATGCCGGACAAGAAACCACTCACAGGAAATAATCAACCAACGACTCCCTCCCAGAACCAGGAAGTAACTACAGATTTTTCTACACTGCTAGCAAATGCACTGCACCCTCTAATGGAGGAGATGATGAATCTCAACACCAAATTGGACACGGTCCAAAAACAGTTGACTCAAATGGTTTATGGCGACATGCTGAACAGACTCATCTCCCGGACCTCCTGGGGATGAAATCTGCACACCAGCAGAAAGGAGGGGGGGCGACGTCTCACTACCCCCCTCCGGAGCCTGGTTGAAAGGCTTCTAGCCATGGGACTTTTGGGAGGTGGCCTCTTCGCCAGCACGATGCTGGGGAATTGAGGTGCTTTTCTGTCCTGACGGTCCTCCTGCTGTGTGTCCGTATGGAACTAGTGATGTTGACCGGGACAAGCGCTGGAGATCGAGCGGTTTAAACGGAGCTACAGCGAGGTCGAAATAGAGTGCAATTGACAAGCCAAAAAGAAAACTCCCACCCCACGGACTAGAGAGTAAAGCAAGCGGGGGAGGGGGCCCTCCGATGTGCATGAAATAAAAAGCGAAAACTGAGGGGGGAGCGGAAGTAAAAGCGTTGAAATCTATTGGGAGAGACTTACCAGGGCGCGGATGAGTGTATGAGCGCATATTCAGAGACTTTAGCAAACTTTCAGAGAGTAAACAATCCATAAAGATGGCGGGGAAGAGGACGGAGAAAGAAAAGATTTCAAAAGCGAAAGTAGTTGAGAGCCCTCGCCCAGAAGGAACCACCGAGCTGGCTAAAACGTTGGCAGAATCCCTGCGCCCCCTGCTGGACCAGATGACAAATCTCAAGGAACAGTTGTCAATGATGAATCAAAGCATCACTACTCAGCAGCTACAATTGAACGAGACTCTTAAGATTACGGAGCAAACAGCTGCGAAAGTGAAAGAAGTTGACGCCAGTACTCAAAAGGTGAGGAAAAAGGTTCAAAAATTGGAAAAGAAGCAAGTTTCTACAGAAGAACAACTTTTGCAGCTGCAAATTGAGAAGGCAAACCTGGTCCTCCGATTCCAAGGTGTCCCAGAATCCAAAGGTGAGAATCTGAAGCAAATAATGAGCGAAGCATTGGCCCCAGTGACAGATTTCAAGGCGGAATACCTTATAAACGAGATGGATGTGGCCTACATGTCCTGTTCCGTATACATAAAGAAGAAGAATCTGCCTGGGGAAATAATAATCAGATTCTCGAAGAGACACGTGAGGGATTCTATCCTGAGAGCAACTGCAGGGTCACCTTTGAAAATTGGGGACAATACTATTAGAATTTTGAAAGACATCCCATTTGAAATAAGACAATGGAGAAAGAAATATAAAGAGTTAATTCTTTTTCTTCAAACAAATGTAATCGTGTACAGGCGGTTAACTCCGGAGGGCGTAACCTTCAAACTTCAGGACAAAAAAGAAAAGATTGACTCTGTTTCCAAAGCACGGCAGTTTTTGAGAATCCAGATGGGTGAGCCAGAGGAGGTGGATAAAGAGGAGAAGGACAGCAAGTCCAGTGGCGAGTTGGACTCGGGGTCTTCTTTCTGAAAAAGGGGAGGCTGCCCCTAAAAGTCCATACAGACTGTGGAAAAGACAAGATAAGAAAAAATGAAGACTGAAGGACTCTGATTTGTGCCTTTGAAAGTATAGTTTTTAATAATGAGATGCTCTGCGGGTTTTCTCTAATAGTTAAATTTAAGACTTAAAAGATATTTTAGCATGTCTGACTAAGTTCAAAAGATACTAGCGTTTTAAGAAAAACTTTTTACTAAAGCAGTTGTAATGATCTCCTCTCTTGGGTTTTTAGTTAGTAGTGGCTATTCTTTCTCCTTAAATGTAGTGTAGTCCCCTTTCTCTACTTTCATTGTAGTTTGTAGTTTAATTAAAAAATGCACTTTCGTTGTAGTTTGTGGTTTAATTAAAAAATGCAATAAAAAATTCCCTCCGCCCCCCCAAAAAAATGTAAAATGATGGGAAAAAAGACTGAGAGTATTAATAAAAGAATGGATGAAGCAGACAAAGAAAGATCTTCTGACAAAACACAGCTAATACAGCTTCAGCTGGAAAGATCCACAGATGTCCTATGTTTCCAAGGGATTCCAGAAGAAAAAAGGAACTTTTAGCGAAGGCTCTTGTACCACTAATGGATTATAAACAAGAAGAATTATTGAACAAGATGGACTTGGATTACAGGATTTATCTGGACTTTATAAAGAAAAACAAACTCCCAGGAGAAATTGATTTGAAATTCACGAAATGATCTACCAGGGATCTGGTGCTAAAATCCACGATGGGGAAGGCTTTAAAAATCCAAAACAAAGATGTAAAAATTCTGAAAGATATCCCTTTTGAAGTGAGGAAGAAGAGGAGACTTTATAAGGAACTTACTCTCTTTCTTCAAAAAAAAAAAGGGAATACCCTACAGATGGGTATTCCCTGAAGGACTGAGTTTCAAGTATGAGGACAAAAAATTTAAAATTGACTCTGTTCCTAAAGCAAATAAGTTTATGGCCCAATTTTCAAAGCCAAACCAAACTCAAAAAGAAAAGAAGACAGAACTTTCTGCGGACAAGGAAGAAGATGGCGAAGAATCCTACTCACAGGATTCAACAAGCACTAGTTCTAAATCTTCAGAGATTTCGGAATCTGAAAAAGGAGTAGCCGCTCCCAAACCTCGGACAAGGAAGAAACGCAAGAAGAAAAGACTCTGAAACTGATAGATGTTTATGCAGTCTTTGTTAAAATGATATTCAAAGCTAATTATTATTCTTAAACCTTTATTTATGTTATCTTAATATCAGTAGGTGATTTAGTTACAAATTCATGTAATCCAGATCATGTCACCTGTTAGCTCCACTCCCCCACTTACTAGTAGAATCGTAGTGTATAGTGTATTAGAGTTCCACTCCCCTATTCCTGTAGCTTTAGTGATGTAGTAATGGAAAAACAATAAAATCTTTACAAAAAAAAAAAGAATTTGGCTTGAGGCAGAAGGTAATATGTGCTAAATTTTTGTACAGGGTTGCTAGGGGGATGTATTAAATCACCATGAAGATTATTGATTTAAATCAAAACTTTCCATTAGCTGCTCCCTGAATTGAAATGCACACTGATTGGATGCTATAACAATTGAATTAAATTTATTAAGGATGTGCTATCAGATACTAAAGGTAAAGGTTTCCCTTGCTTGAAAGAAGAAGAAGAGATTGGATTTATACCCCATGGCCCTTCACTTGGAGTCTCAGAGCGGCTTACAAACTCCTTTCCCTTCCCCTCCCCACAGCAGACACCCTGTGAGGTGGGTGGGGCTGAGAGAGCTCTGCCAGAAACTGCTCTTTTTCAAGAACAGCTCTTGTCAGAACTTGTGACTGACCCAAGGTCACACCAGCAGGTGCGAGTGGAGGAGTGGGGACTCAAACCCGGTTATCCCAGATTAGAGTCCACTGTACCAAACTGGCTCTGTCGAATTTGACTCTTAAGGGCTGGACACGATAAAATGCCTGGTATTTCCATGATAGGATTGGCAGGAACCCCGTGATATTTCTGATTCTGCTACTTCACTTCTGATAAATATCAGAACTGGAAATCCTGCCAGGCAGGAGCCTCAGGAGTGAGTCAGAAGGAGCCGGCCGGCCTCAGCTGGGCTGTGGTGGGTTAGGGCCTTTTACAGCTGTGGCCTTCCTTCAGACCCCGGGGGCCACCGTGGCTGGCTGTGGGAAGAGGGCGTGCGCACCCTGGGGGACAGGCTGGGGGGCTGAGGCAGGCGTCCTCTCCCTTCCGTAGCAGGAGGAGAGGCACGTCAAAAATTATGGTTCCTTTTGTAAGGTCAGAAAGAGAGTGATTGTTGTTTTCTATTCAGGTATTAATTAAAACAGAAACTTTTCCTGACAATGACATTTTGAATCAATACTCTTAATATTTATAACGATAACTGTACAACCATGTCCTTCCAGATTTTCCAATACAAAATTAAAATGATAATTTTAAAAACAGGTTTTCAGTGTCATTGAAACTTTTTGGGGGGAACAAGCATTGTAGAATCTCCACTGTCTGACCAGCAAGCAAGCAAGCAAAGAGGGTGGATTAATTTAAATGATATCTCCCATTAAGATTTTTTCATATAATAACCAATTCTAACCAATAATAAGTTTATCTAAACGGAATGTTTATACCCTCTAGGACAATGTAACGTATTTAATTTTAGTTAGATTTTTCCTAATTTTGGGAAATAGTGCATAACAGTTTGCTAAATGACAGTTTACTAAACTGAATAACTTTTCATCTTACCTGTGTCAGGCTGTGGTGCTTAGAAAAATTAACACAAAATACCACGTAACAATGAAACTGAGTAGTTACATCAATCAGTGGTTGTACATGTTGGTTTCAGATTATCTTAACCCTTAGCAGATAAACCACAACAAAAATTTAATCCTTTGCACTTCCACTATTGTTCACAGACTGAAACAAATATAAATGTATTCCTGCTTTTCCCATTTTTCCAACTTCTGAGCCCGAGTCAATAACAACCAGAACATTTTTTTTAACCTGTCAGAAGCCATGGGGGGCATCAGGCCTCCCCCCTTTTCAGAAAAAACCCTCCTAATTTTGGGAAAAAGCTAAATATATGTGATCCTTTCATTCCTATCAACCCTAAGCCTAAGCAAGAGAGAACTGCCACCCTGTGCTATCACTCATCCCAATTGGGGGGGGGGGGGGGGGGGGGGGACGATGACTATATTTTATTGAAGGTTTTTTCCATGCTCACTAAAATTTCTCAGTTTTCCTGTTGGAAGAATGAGGGGGGGGGTCCCCCTAGGGAAAAAAATTCCCCCCCCCCAAAAAAAATCCTGATGTTTTTCCAGGCCTTCACATCTCTCAGTGCCTGCCGAGGAAGCAGGCTGCTGTTGAGAAGCTGCTGTAGCTGCTGAGGGACCTGTGGTTTCAGACCCCCGGCGGGTGACTCCCCCTGCTCCAGGGGAGGGACTGTCAGCCCGCAGGTGCTGCTTGAACAGTTCTCCTCCAGCCCTGAAATGGGGAGGAGATGCCAGTGTCACGGCAGCAGCCTCTTCATCAGAAGTCAGGAACCCACACTGGCAAGTTGGGCTGAGAATATTAGCAAGAAAATGAGGTGGAGTGTTTGTTCCACTCAATTCTTTGTCTGTTAGTTAATTTATGTAATAATGCTGCTTTGTTTCTTCATCTAGAACTTGTTACGAAGACATGCTAAAAGAGTAAGTATTAACTCCTGTGTGTTCTAAGGGCAGTATAGCACTTTGGGGACTGGAGCTTGTGGGTTATTGAGTGTGTTAGATGTTGCCATCGACTGTTATGTTGTAAACCAGTGAAGGAATTATGTCTGTCACTGGAAAGTGTTTGATGGGGGTGCAGGTTCCAGCCAATGTCGAGCAAGGTTACGTTTTCCAGTTGCCTAACTTGTATGTCTGCTCTCCACCAGAGGTTATAGATGCCCTTTGTGTATGCATTCGGCGTTGGATATGACCCGATACTGGCAGCAACTGGACAGCGAAGTAGCCCAGACACCGATGCCCTTGGAGTACCAGAACATGATGGTGGAGGTAAAGTGGTATCTGTCTGCGTCGCCCTGGTTGCTTGCCCTGGGGCACCATCCTCGTCATGCCGGCTGCACTGCAGGATCCTGGCTAGAACACAAGGAGGAGTCACAGAAGAGGAGGAACAACACAGATAAACAAAACCTGTGGCCAGAAATGTATCATCAATGAACAATTTATATCACATCATGAAGTGTCCAAGTGATTTTTGATAGCTATAATAATGTAAATGTCAAATAATAATCCAGTAGCAGAATTTAAGATCCTTAAGGGACGACAAATCCTTACATTGCAGACAGTCAAGCACTGGTGAGCGATCCAACAACCTTATGCAGACTCTCTCCAACAATGACAATAGAAGCAGTAAATTACAACAGGATCCTGTTTCGAGGAATTTCTCAAGTCAAGTTGCCAAGATCCAGAAGAAATCCCTAAACTGGCATCATAACCACAAAGTCTCCATTAAGCATCACATGCTGCACGTAATTTCTTTGTGTCACAAGAAGCATTCACCAAGCTGCTTATTGTGACACGAGGAAATTACATGCAGCATGTGATGCCTAATGAGACTTTGTGATTATTTATGGTATATTTCTGGTCCCTTTTTTTTGTTTGTCTGTGTTGCACTACAAAATCCTGGCATAGTGCCCTTCAATCTAGTGTCAAGCAGTACTTGGCTCTCTAACCTGTATGTGAATCTGCTAAATTGGTGTAACTTTTTCCTGACTTCACTTTTCTTTTTTGGCTCTACTTAACCTGAAATTATAACTAATTTGCAATTAAATATGCAGCATAAATTATGTAAAGGGTAGCAAGGAGTCATGCTGGGCACGGAAGCTCTGCTCTCAGCCACTGGAAATGTTGTGTGGCCCTTGTTCTGGCTTCTCAGGTTTTACAGTATTTTCCTACCCACCTAAACATACCTTTGTAACTTTGAGGACTAGACCCTTGCCCATTTTTTTTCAAGGAAAAGTTTCTGAGGAATCTCTGTCCAGTTTTGCTTCCCAGGCCATCTCCTCTGCTCTTGTCGAGTTGCTGCACATCCCTACAGGATGCTCTCTCTCTTTGGTCTGAAGAGTATTTGTTACACAGCATGACAACAAAGCCTTCTCTCTCCAGCCATTTCGAGTAGCTGGCTTGTTGAGGTGCTGCTGCAAAGCCCTTTGTGGACAGAGGTGGCAGATGCTGGGGGAGGGGCACACAGGTGTGTCTGTGGTCCCCAGAGGGGCCCCCCTTTCCCCGGCTGTCTTTGCTGAATGGGGTGGAGAGGCAGGTCTTCTTCAGCCAAACTAGGAGAGGGTGATGTATGGCCAGGGAAGTTGGAAAGGGGCTGCTTTGTTTAGAATCTGTGGGGAGTTTCCCCTCCTGTGTGGGCGTTGTGTGGCCCAGAGTTCATGGGACGCTCGGCGTGGATCTGAGTCATCTCCAGGGTGAGGAAAGGGGTTTTGAGTCTTACTGAGAAGGACCCTTATCTGGGATCCTGGAAGGTGGTTGTAAAGAACAGACTCCAGGGGTTGGTTTTGATGACAAAAAATATGGACACCATAAAACAAACCAGGCCCTCAGTGCTGAATTTGCATCAGAGTCCCACAGCCATCAGTCTCAACAACGTTCCTTCAGAAGGATCAAGTTCATTGAAGGCAGGAAACCAGGTCATCTGTGCACACATTCTTTGTTGGAACTGACTCTCCTGGTGGGAGAGGAGAAGTTATACTACAGTCAAAGTGGGGCCGGTTCCCAGGCAGGGTGAAGCATGCGAAGCACCAAGGCCAGGCTAATAGATCAGACACAGCAGGAGGCGTGAAAGCGGGCCTTCCAGAACATGAAGATGCTCACCCAGCGGCCTCCTTCCCCCCTCCACACACAGTGGCCGTGTAGCTGGCAGTACCTCATTGAGGGCACGTGGTGTATGCCCCCCAGCATTCTCTGGAGTCCCCTTCCCTTCTGCTGTCCTGAACTAAAAGATCTAATGATCCCGCATAACAGAAGAGCATTTATGCTCACTTGGTTAAATTCTTTCCCCCCAGCCACACCAGAGGGCCGATTCACAGGCATGGCATATTCAGACACAGTTTGTAAATGGGGATCTGGTCAGCCTGAGTCCTTAAAACATATTTTACCGGAGTGTGAAATCTGGTCTGATTTGAGAGAATAGTATTTGTCCTCCCTCTTAATAGGTTATGTGAATTTACCATCTCAAAAAATCATCCAGTTTTTCTTGCAGATGAGGATTGGAAAACCATCTTAGCAGTCACTAAATATTTAGCTGCAGTGATTGCCTGTAAGCGGGTAGGATCTCGATCTGTTCAAGACCTTTGAGTCGAAAGAACAATCAGATAACGAGAAGCCTTTGTGTGCATTGTAGAAGAAGTTCAGTTTCTTTCCCGCAAGGCACATCCAGGGAAGGGACCGCTAGTTTTTGTTTGTGGAAATAGTTCTAGATGAGAGGTTGGGCAGAAAATACAATCCCGTGCCTAATTTTCTGTTTCTAAACATGCATTGTGTCGTAATTAAACGGGGCCTTTTGAAAGTTGGAAGTGGTGAGCATTTCAGATGAGCATTTCCACTCTGCCGTGGAAGCTCCCTGGGTGGACCTGGGGCCCGTTACTCACTCTCGGCCTCACCTACCTCACAGGATGGTTACGAGGATAAAATGAAGGAAAGAAGAATGCGGTAAGCTGCTTTGGGTTCCCATTGTGGAGAAAAGCAGGACGTGAATGAAGTAAATGCATAATAACTATAGCTTAAGATGGGGTTAGTTTGGTTGGTGGATGGGAAGGACAAAAGGAGGCAGAGAACGGTGTGGACAGGGGCTTTGCCAGGAGGGAGAGAAGACATCCTGTGTGGGGAGGGGAGAGTGAGGAGCCCCCAGAACGGAGCTCCGCACAGAGTTTTCCCAGGGAGAGGCTGCGGGAGGGAGGGAGGGAGGGAGGGACTGAAGAGAGGGTGGAAGATAAGTAGGTTTGCTGGTAAGATAGGGAAGGAAGCCAGGAGAGGGAAACTATCGTGACTCTCAGAAAAGGGAAAGAGGAACTAGTGGGGAAGGGGGGGGAAATGAGTGGCTCTCCACAAGTCCTTGCAGGTTGCCAACTTGTGGTTTTATAATTTAGCACACAACAAACATGGTGAGTGTTACCGCACAATCTTATCCTCCACATGCTGGCTGGAGGGCTGTAGTGTACCGAGTCACTGTGTCCCAGGACCCTAAAGTGGCAACTTGGCCAGAGTTTTCCTAGGGAGAGGCAAGGAGGGAAAAGTGAAGATGGGGAGCAAATACAGACCGATGATTGGGAAGGAGAGAAGAAAGCTGGAAAAGGAGTGAGATTATGTGGGGGCTTTCAGAGAAGGTAAAGAGGAAATAACGGGGGGGGGGATGAGAGGTCCCCTGCAAAGCCATGTGAGTCCCTGCTTGTAATCATTCTAAATCCAATTCCATTTAATGTAAGGAACTGGAAGATCTTCTGATTAAAAACTTCCAGCAAACAAACATCACTTCTTTGTTAGAGAAGCAAAAAGATATTCCTAGTCAAGAAATTTAAAATTGTTACCTTTTGGACTGTTTCTGTAGCGATGACTTCCATCTCTTTTAATGCTCAGTTATTTGTTATTACTGCTGCTGCTGCTATTAATTTCTCCCTTGTGCTTTACACAAACGTTTTCTGTTTGGTTCCAGATCCTTTGCAACGACTGCACTTCTCGATCCACGGTGCGGTTCCATATTCTGGGCATGAAGTGCAAAAACTGTGACTCGTATAACACAGCCCAGGATGGAAGCTCTCGAGTCTCATGGCCCAGCAGCCGCTGAGACTGGCCGTGGAGGCCGCATCGCCTCCTGCTTTGCAGGCAGGGCCTGTTCTCAGGGCTGGAGAGTTGTTTCCCCTCTCTCTTTAGTTGTTTAGATGTTGCATTGCCAAAGCATGTCCTTGGGGCATGGGCACTGAAATCCAGTAGCTGGAAGAATCAGCTGCATTCTGGGAAGAATACTTTAGCATATTTCTGTGCAGTTGTTGGGTGTGAAATAAAGTAACCACAGATTACTTTATTGGCTGCTGAGCAGGGCAGGAAACCCACCTGGAGAGACTCACCAGCTTTTGTGTATTCAGACATGAAACCCTGGCCCTTGAATCTCCTCCCCCCACACACACACACTTCATGGAAGGCAAGTCTTCTGATTTTCCCAGAGTCTGTCTAGTACAGATTTGCACCGGTCTTATCAGGAGGTGAGAGAAAGTATTCAGACTTGCTGCTTTTAAAAAAACAAAGCTTCAAATGTAGTCCTATGCAAAGAGTGATGTTTTCTACCACACTAGAGGCAAAGCTGCAATGGACAATACATTGCTGTGCTTCCTATGTGAATGTATAATAAAAGTCGTACTTCAGAATGTCAGTTTCTTTCATCCAGATGCGATTTTGTCATTATTTGCTGCAAATTCTCACATCTTGCTTAACTGCTGAGGCAAGGCTGAAGAGTCTGGGACATTTCAGTTTAGAAAAGAGGCCACTAAGGGGGCACATGATAAGGGTTTATAAAATTATGCATGGGGTGGGGTGTGTTGACCAAAACTTTTTTCTCCCTCATCCGACACATCCGCTCCACCCCTTCCACCCCGCAACCAACGGCCAGGCTGAGCAGATGGTGAGGACGACTAAGGAGGCCCTCTGCAGGATCGTCCAGGGAAACTGGGAACACTGGCTGGCAGCCTTCCTCCTCGGCCAGCGGGTAACCCCGAACACAACCACCGGCTGCAGCTCCGTGGAACTCCTGATGAGAAGGTGCCTCACAACCCATTTCGATCGATTGCACCCAGACTGCGCTCTGGAGCACAGCTTGGCCCCAAAGAATCAAGCCGCTCCCCATGGGTCCTTCCCGGGTGACGATGTCTATGCACACAACTTCTCCAGCAGCCCAGCCTGGGTCCCCACCAAGGTTATAAGGCTGACCGGGCCTCTATCATATGAGGTATCCACAGAAGACGGCCAGAGGCTCCGCCGACACATAGACCAGCTCCACAGCCGTCTCCTCCCCGCTGAACCCAGGATACCCACACCAGAAGACAGTGATGAGGATCTGCTAAGCCCAGAGGAGCCGGAGGCCGAGGAGAACACACCCACCAGCAGCGCCCAGCTGGAAATCAATGGACAGACTTGGGAGGCCGCTGGCAGAATGCCAGCAGCAGCCGCCACCGGTGGCCCTGGCAACGTCCCGGCACCACCACTCTCTCCCAGTCTGGCGGCCGGGCCGGGCCCCGCCACAGTTCCTGAACCCACAGCCCCGTCAGCGAAACCACGCCACTCGAACCGTGAGCGGCGCTGACCAGCATACTTAAAGGACTTTGTCAGTTCAAGAGGCTCTGAACGTTGGGGGGAGGGGGTGTTATGTATTGAGCCTGAACTGTCCTTGCAAAAGGACTGAGCTTGGGATGCATAACAATGGACCGCTAGGATCCTAGAATGGACCAGACAGGGATCCCGGAGTCAACCAATTGGGAAACAATAGAGTGTAGATAGCCTATCGTTGGGAGTGGGGTGTGTTTGGGTGTAACCCTTTTCAGGCATAGATACCTGGCTTCGGCCAGGGATCTCAGTCTTCTTTCTCTCGCTGGATCACTAGTAAACTATGAGCTGATCACTTGTACGCGTCTGAACCCCGGATAGTTAAGGTTCCATCCCATCCGGTGCGGCTCGGAGGCTGCTGCCAGAGCCACTGCCGCTCTCCAGAGGCCAGATCAGTTCCTCCCCTGCAGGAAAGGGCAGTGCCGGGTGGAGGGGACTCTGTGGCATCACACCCCTGCAGAGCTCTCTGCCCTCCCCAGGCCCCACCTCCAAATCTCCAGGGATTTCTTGAACTCATGTTGGCAAGCCTAGTGCTGGATGAGAGATCAATGTGTGTGGCTGGGCCCCATCCTGTATTCTTTTGTGTTCTCAAATGCCAAACTGGAAGGTTCAGAATCTCCTTAAGAAGAAAGGGAATTCTGGATGGATGAAATGAACCTCCGTTTTCAGTGGCAACGTACCTCTGAATACCAGAGACTAGGGGAAGATGGAAACAGAAGAGCTCAGTGTTTAGGAAGAGTTAGAATCCGAATGAGTGAAGAAGACTGAAAGTGCCTCCTGGCCAGGCTCAGAGAAGGAGAAATAAATGCCCTTTCCCACCCAGTCAGTGAACATTAAAAACAATATTTCTCGTTATGTCTGAAGAAGTGAGCTGTGGCTCCCGAAAGCTCCTCTCCTGCCACAAATTTTGTTAGTCTTTAAGGTGCTCCTGGACTCTTATTCTTTTCTACTATTAACATTTAAACTGTTAACCAATTAAAATACAGTTAAAATATACAATAATTAAATTAAAAACACAAACACAACAATACCAGAAGGAGGGCCAATAACTGTCATGCCAGAGGAAACACAAGAGTCTTCACCTGCTTGCAAAGACAGACCAATGTCCCTGGGGAGGGAGTTCCAAAATTTGATGCCACAACCAAGAACTGATTGCATGTTTTCAGTGAGTTTCTGCTCTAACTTGGTCAATCAGTTCTTCTGTGAAACACCATCGTTCCTGAGTATTTCCTGTTCAGACTTGTACCTAGTTGAAGTTGGACTCCTCTTTTGTTGTAGCTTGTCCTTGTTTCATTTCCATCATTTTAACTTATGTGCAAGATCTGCAAATCTTCACTGCAGTACTTAGAATCCCTTCAGTGCTCAATCAGAGAAAGGCCCTTTCTGCTTGCCTTCCCCTTCAGTCTTGAGTCCACTGCAGTCTTAGCCTGTACAGGGACTCTATCTCATTCTTCATTGGGCCAAAACCTAGTCATTGCTGTTATATATTCCTGTCAAGAGCTTTGGTTCACTTAAAATGGAGATAGCTTTAAAATCCTGGTCCCGCCTGACTGCAGCCTGCTCTTGTTAAAAACTTCCTGAAGTCTCCCAGGTTTCACACTGACATGTTGGGGAGAGCAAACATCTTTGCACCTACAAGATAACATGTTCTTTCTCTGGCCTTGGCTTCCCTCGTTAACATTCCAGAGCAATTAAGTCCTGTGAGAAGGAGGTGGCGGTGTGAAGCTGCAGATCAAATCACCCGCTTTTCTGACACAACCAGAGACCAATGAAATCATTTTTTCACTGATTGGCCTATGTGTATCGAGAAGACATTGCTTGAACTCGAATTGGTGCAGAAGCCTAGCAACCGATTGGGATTCAAATGATAAATAAGCAACCTTAATATCTGTTCAGGGGGCATGATGGTGTTTGCATGTGAAGCTGACATGTAACATGTAAGTGGAGTGCCTCAAGGATCTGTCCTGGGACCTGTTTTGTTCAACATCTTTATCGATGATTTGGATGAAGGGATAGAGGGAATGCTTATTAAATTTGCAGATGATACTAAATTGGGAGGGGTAGCAAATACAGTAGAAGAAAGAGTCAGGATACAGGATGATATTGACAGGCTGCAAAACTGGGCTAAAACAAATAAAATGAATTTCAGTGAGGATAAATGTAAAGTTCTGCATTTAGGTAGGAAAAACCAAATGCATAATTGTAGGTTGGTGTTGGGTAGCCCCGCCATGGTGTTTTCCCCTGACTCCGGAATGTGTAATGCTCTGCAGCTGTTTCTTGCTTCTGCCTCTCTTATCTAGCTGTTGGCCTTGAGTGCTCATCGCTTTGGCGCGAAGCCTCTGCTGTCTCCCGCTCACCTCTGAACCATTAACCAGTTTCCCACGCTCCACATTATTTGCTTATTGGCTCCTGGGTGTCAGGGGGTGTTGTATGAACCCACTATAATTGCTATAGCCATTTTGTATGTCTCATTCCTGACTCAAAGAGTCTAAGATGACTTCACCTTGCTTTGATTAATAAAGCTGAACCTGTTTAAGGACCTGCTGTTGATGCTGAGTTATTGAAGTACCTGACAGAGAGTCAGGAATCCCATCTCTCCCCTACCCGTATCGTTGCAAAGATGAGTGGTGAAGAGGAACAACTGACACCAAAGGAACTGGACGTGCCGGTAACCACCACACCGGTTACCACTACACCGGTCACCACCATCATGCCAGTGACCATGGTTCCTACGACAATGCTGCCCCTGTTGGTGCCCGTCTCCTTGGGTCTGGGAGCAGAAGGAGGACTCTTCAGTTGGAGCCGGGCAGAACCCAAGGGGTTCGAATGGTCCACGTTCGATACGACCAACCAAGAGTCATGGATATTGACTCCTGGCCCAGCAAGGGGAAGCTGTTACAAGTACCAACCACCCCATGAGACGGGGGCACGTACTCAGCGGAAGGAAGAAAAAAAGGGTTGGGAGGAACATCTCATCCGAATTGAACAAGCCCAGGACCGGCAAGTTAGTCAATGACCGAATAATTCTAAATAATTGGACTGGGCGAGAGCTAGCAGACGCAATGGAGGTTGTGTAGAAATCCTTCTTCACGGCCTTCACTGCCATCTCATAGGTGCTCATAAACAACCCATAGGATGCTCTTGTAACTTTGTCACGAACTGGTCGCCACCCTCTCTCTAGCCGTCTTAGCTCCTGTTTCATCCGCCGCAGCTCCGGGTTATACCACGGAGCTAGTTTGGCACAGGGGTAAAGAGGATGCCGGGAAGCAACTTTGTCAATGACTTCGGAAAGACGGGATTGCCAGTCTTCCACCAGCACATCCAACGAGTTTCCAGAGGGAATCAGATCCCACAGAGCTTCCTGCAACCTATTTAGGTCCATTTGACTCTGCGGGTGAGTATAAATCTGCCTGCCGCCTAAACAGGGAGGGCTAGGGATACCCAGGCGGGCCTCCAAAAAGTTCAAGAAAAGTGCTTAAAAACAAAGCAGTGGAGCTTTAATGCCACCCCCCAAAAAACCCTATCTGGCTGTTCTATTTACTGGTATTGGTGAGAACTGGTAGTGAGAACCAGTGAGGATTGTGGGGCACTCCGAAGGGATCTGTCAAGGATGGGCGAGTGGGCATCAATGTGGCAAATGGGATTTAATGTGGCCAAGTGCAATGTGATGCACATTGGAGCCAAAAATCCTAGCTATAAATACACGTTGATGGGGTCCGAACTGGCAGAGACTGACCAAGAGAGAGAGCTTGGAGTCATAGTAGATAAGTCACTGAAAATGTCGAGACAGTGTGCAACTGCAATAAAAAAAGGCCAACGCTATGCTGGGCATTATTAGGAAGGGAACTGAAAACATATCAGCCAGTATCATCATGCCCCTGTATAAATCGATGGTGCAACCTCATTTGGAGTACTGTGTACAGTTCTGGTCACCACACCTGTCATGACCCCAGAGGGGTCTTTGGGTTTCGCCGCCACCACCCTGGACTTTCGGGTTCCTCGGGAGTCCCAGGGTATCTCCCTTGCTCTCCGAGCACTATGGACGTGAATGACCCAGGCAGACACCAAAATACATTAGGCCAAACAGGGTTTATTGTGAGAATGATTGGGGCAAGGTGCTTCAACTGGGTAACAGTGATGAGGATCTGCTAAGCCCAGAGGAGCCGGAGGCCGAGGAGAACACACCCACCAGCAGCGCCCAGTGAGGGACAGGCTGTCTCTCCCAGACTTCATTCCCTAACAGACTCTAACGGTCTCTTTAGAATCTTCTCTGACTCTCCCAATGCCTTCTGGGAGTTGTAGGCCTAGCCGCCTCCTACTGCCACCCAGGCCTCTTAGGCTGGCTAGGCCGTACTGGCACAGGCCAGATCATGACACCACCTCAAAAAGGATATTATAGCATTGGAAAAAGTGCAGAAAAGGGCAACTAGAATGACAAAAGGGTTGGAACACTTTCCCTGTGAAGAAAGGTTAAAACGTTTGAGGCTCTTTAGCTTGGAGAAACAACAGCTGAGGGGTGACATGATTGAGGTTTATAAGATTATGCATGGGATAGAGCAGGTAGAGAAAGAAGTACTTTTCTCCCTTTCTCACGATACAAGAACTCGTGGGCACTCAATGAAATTGCTGAGCAGTCGTGTTAGAACAGCTAAAAGGAAATACTTCTTCACTCAAAGAGTGATTAACACATGGAATTCACTGCCACGGGAGGTGGTGGCAGCTACAAGCATGGACTGCTTCAAGAGGGAATTAGATAAACATATGGAGCAGATGTCCATCAGTGGCTATTAGCCATATTTTTGCTTTTGATTCTGTATGCTGTTTAATGGGTCTCTGACCGTAATAAAAATGAATGAATGAATGCTATTAGCCACAAGGTATAGATAGGAACTCTCAGTCTGGGGCAAGGGATGCTCTGTATTCTTGGTGCTTGGGGGGGGGGGGCAACAGTGGGAGGGCTTCTAGTGTCCTGGCCCCACTGCTGGACCTCCTGATGGCACCTGGTATTTTTGGCCACTGTTTGACTGAGTGTTGGACTGGATGGGCCATTGACCTGAACCAACATTGGCTTCTCTTATGTTCTTATGCAGGGACTGCTGGCCATAACTTCCTGACCTTCCCAACCAATCACAGGGCTATTTCCATGGAACATTCTGGGCAAGAGAGTCAGCTCCCCCTCCCATAACAGATGCACACCTGAAATGTGTGAACTAATTAACAGGTTTTTGAAATGACCTTGATGAGTAACCCTTGGGTAGGGGGCGTCAGAGTGCAAGAAGATGTGAGTTTAGCTAGAATTTTCTGCTAAGGGGGCTTCTCTTTTGACATGTGTGTCAGATAACAGTTTCCAGAGACAGTCTGTGATGATGAACCACATTGGAAAGTATATGTGAATGGGTTTGTTGCCAGTAAGAGGAATGAAGGAAAATCAGTAGATTATTTTGTGTTTCTAGGGGGAGGCTCACCACCAGATCGATATTAATTTTTCCCACAGTAGCACACCTGAAGGCTTTTCCACTGGTGAAATTTAGTGCCTCTTTTGATCAGTGAAATGGGTACACCAGAGTTCCAGGGAACTGTGTGGGCAAAAGTCACACAGAACAGGGGTCCTGTGAGGAGGGAAATCTGAGGTGGTTGCATGGAAATCAGGGAGGATCCAACCCCCTAAACTGGGGCTAAATTGGGCATCATGGCAACACTTACACACACACACCCCATGTTTGTCCCATCAACAGCGACTGGTTTGTGTGTGTCTAATGGCAACACTCCAAATGATGCACAGCTGATGAGAGATGAGCCACCCTCTTCCCTCCACCTTCTCATTCCCATCCCCCTGGCCACAGTTGCCGAGGGAGGTATTTGTTACTGAGTCGGGCTTCCACTGGGTGTCAGTCTGGGTCAGCAGGGTGGGGGCAGGAGCTCAGGGAAGGGCGTGTGGGTCATGCCAAGGTTGCAACCTCCTTTTTGGTGGTCTTAGCCATCCGGCAACTGGGGAATCTTGTGGCTCGTCGGGCTCAGGCAGCCACTCACTTGTGCCTCTTCCAGGGCTCGGGCTGCCAGCCCAATGATGGCTACTCACACCCACCGCAGCCAGACCTCGAGCAGCCGGCTTGCTCACACCCAGCCCATTCAGGATTCGGTGGAGGCTGCTCACACCCGCCTCATCCAGAGCCGGAACAGTCAGCTGCCCCTCCCGCCTGCCCTGTCTGGGGCTCAGGCAGTGCTGGCTTCGGGCGAGGGAAGCCCCTTGTCTGGCCCCAACAGGGGGGGTGACCTTGGGGGCCCTGGGAACAGTGATTCTGGGGCCCATCCTGAACTGTGCCAAGGGCCCCAGAATTCCCTCGCCGTCCCCATGAGGGACTTGGACATCCAAGAAAGGGCAAAGGTGCCACTTCTGCTCCAAGAGGAGGTACCAGCAGTTCCCCCAGGCCTTTACCAATAGCTCGGCCTCTGTCCCGGGAGCAACTGTGGTGCAACTTTTCTACAACATGATACCACATTTGTGTTTTCAGTCCGAGGTCTTTGAACAGTGGCCGCTGTCCTGCATCACTTACCCTGCATGTCAAACAAATGTGGCATTGTTTGGTTTCCTTAAAAAGAACACCAGATAGCCCTGCGCCGCATATCTCCAGGGCCACTTAAGCGCTGGCTCAGCTGTCGGCCCCTGACAGACAGAAGCATTTGCCTTCTAAAAATACCCCCTTCCAGAACCCTCCTTACCCTTCCTGATTGGAGAGTGGACACGAAATGCCCTGGCAGTTCACCCGCAACCGTTCTCATTCTGGGAAACCGTGCTTGGATCCATTGTCCTGGGGAGGCGAGCCCCGACTGACCCCCCCCCTTTCCTCCCGCTCTGCTTTGCTGAGGGAGGTCCCCCTCTCCCTCCCTCGGGAACTATTTCCTGGCTGGGACAGGAGGGGGGATAGAGTCCATTTATAGGACTGGTCCTTTGGGAGCCGGAAGACATTTAAACAGTCGGAGCGAGAAGAGCTTTGACCCACCTGGGGCCATCCGTCGGTGTGGCAGACGAGGGTGTGCCTGGCGTGCCTGAGGGAGGCATGGAGACGGTGGAGCTCTTCAGCGCGGAGGGCAAAGGCCGGGGCCTGAAGGCCACGAAGGAGCAGTGGGCAGGGGATGTCATCTTCGCAGAAAGAGCTTACGCGGCCGTGGTCTTCGACAGGTAAGCAGACAGCTACCGCCTGAGCGCAGAGGGAATGCTGGGCCTGGCTTCCGGAGGGGAAGGCCCCGCACAGCTGGACAGGATCCCACCCTTCACGGGGAGAAGACTGGGCCTTGTCTAACTGACTCATTTACTGCAGGAAGGGAGAGCATCCCAAGCAGAGTGACGTCTTCTGAGCCCACTGAGGTCAAGAGGCTGAGAAGGGTGAGCTCTGCTCGCGAGGGCCCTGGCAGGGACAGCCGGCTCTTCAAGCCTCACCTTCACCACCAACTCATGCCCTCTGCGCCGGCTTTCTGATCTGCCTCACAGGGTTGCACTGATTGACTGGTTTTAAAAGACTCCATGCTGCCCGTCAGTGATCACCCACCATCTCCTGGTGTGGCTTATGAGACTACAAAACTCTGCACAAACAAAACCCACGTGAAAGGATTTGTTCACAACAGCAGGGCTCGGTATAATGGCTTGGAGCTGCCAGTGACCTTATGGGGGTCTCATTGCAGCTGCCTGTCGCAGCAGGGATCACGATTCGAAAAGGAGGCATGCTTGTCCCAAGGCCCCAACAAGCACCCCCAAGAGAAGGCCTCTCCTAGTCTGCCCGGCCCAGTTGCCAACACCTCGTCTCTGCTCAGAGCCCGGCAAACGGCCCCTTCTTGCAATCGCATTCCGGGAGCCACGTCCGCTGTGCCGCTCTAGTGCCAGTGCTGAGGAGCATGGCCAAGCAGACCTGGGGGTGGTGGGCAGTCCCCCAAAGGGCTGTGCAGCTCCGGCTCCCCTGCGCCCCATATGGGGTGTGGCTGCAGCTCATCTCTGGCTCTTAGCTGCATGGGTTTATAAGGAGGGTGAGGGAGTAGGCAAAGCACATTTCACTGTTGTTTCAATAAGTTCAATCGACACAGGGTTGCCGGCTGAGGCTTAGGGCATCCCTGGAGATTTGGGAGGTAGAGCCCAGGGAAGGCGGGGAGGGACTCTTAAACAGGGTAGAATGCCAGAGACCCCCCCCCTTCCAAAGCAGCCATTTTCTCCAGACAAACTGATCTCTGTCGCTTGGGGACATTGGCAACCCTGGAGAGTATGTGATTGGGGTGATTATAAATATGTTCATAATTTCTGAGTGAAGTGGAGCTAGGTTGTGTAATATGGACCCAGCTGGCAGCAGAGGTAAGCACTGCTCCAAAATATATGTTGGAACTGTTCATGATACTTCTCAGATAGTTTTGTAGGGTGGACTTTATGGCATGTACCCTACTGTGGTCCTCATCTTCCCCAGGCTCCGTCCCCCAAATCTCCAGGAGTTTCCCAACCCGGATCTGGAAATCCTATCCCCCATCCCCGTCCCCCCCCCCCCGGGCAGACCTGGTACCCCTGTTTTTTTGTGGTGGGCAGGAAGGGGGCGGATGGCAGTTGTCGCTTTCCCCTCTCCTGGCACACAGCTGGGGAAAACAATGTCTGGTCTTTGTCCAGTTCAAGAAGTGACTGAGATTATTCTGGACAAACTGTCGTTTGTGGCATCCCTTTTGGGAAGGACTTTGGTGGCTGGGCCAGAGACCTCGAAGTTTCTTCTCCCCCCCCCCCAGCTTAGTTCCTAAGCAGCAGCCTACTGAGCCGTATTTGTACTATTTTTATCCAACATTAAATGTAATCCCTTGTAATGAATGAGTATTATTACTTCACAGCAAAATGCGCTTTAATGAGTGTTGCGATTACCTTCCCTTTTCCATAAAAGATACCATTATAGCATTTATGAATGACTGCCTGTTTATTTGGTACTTTTGAATTGGCATATAAATATTGCCAACTGTGTCTTTTGTATTTCCTGGCCTTTTAACTCTACTATTCACAATCCTTCCCGTTATCCATTGGTATAACTATACCTGCTGACGGAGATGCATGTGAGAAATAAGACTCCAGCTATGAAAGCTTCAGCTACAATAAATCTGTTAGTCTTTAAGGTGGCAAAAGATTCCTTTTTGGTTTTGTTACAATAGACTAACTTGGATGCGCCTCTGGAATTTGTACTTGAAATTAATTAATTTGTGCCAAGAACTGCTCCCACCCCAATTAGTCCAGGAGTCTGTTTTCAAAATGAGGGATGAATCTTAGAAGTATCTCTGAGCATGCACAGAGTGCCTTTCCCTCACCCCTGAATAACTGCAATCTGCTGCCTGCACCCTTAATCATTCCAGTGCAGATTGGCCCAATACAGGCTTAGGCGGGATTTCCAAACAACCCCATTCAACAACCCCTACTCTTGTGCCCCCCCATCAACTTCCAGCTATTTAAACAACAACACTGTATTTTAAAACAACTTGCCAGATCAATGGGGAAAGGCTATTTTATTCCTAAAACAGATTTTTATGCTTTGTCAATGAAGTGTGTGTTTGAGTCCTGACCTGGAGGGCTGGGTGTTAAGTACGAGACTCAACGCAGCTTGTGAACAGTGAATCAGCTTTACTAACACAGTCAGAAGAAATCAGAACGAGACAAAAACATAGAGCAACAGGCTCTCTTTTAAACAGTCCGGGCTTGGGTAGCCACACCCACAAGTCAGATATTAACCAATCACTGTTCACAGATAAGGTCCGATCGGAGTGCTTCCCTCCAGAACATTGCGCAGCTCTGATTGGTCTATTTACAATCCTGTCTCAGAACTCAAGCTCATACAGATCTTAATACACAACACCGGGCTAGCCCGATCTTGTAAGAGCTCGGATCTAAGCAGAGGCCGGCGATGGCAAACCGCCTCTGAACATCTCCTGCCTTCAAAACCCCATGAGGGGTTGCCATAAGTCAGCTTTGACTTGACAGTATGAAAAGGAAAAAAAAAGTCCTTGCCCTCAATGTTCTATTCCTAGAAATTTCTGTTGCAGGGCCTGGAGGGTTTCCTCCAGCTGAATGGGTAGGAGGCAGAAGTAAGTGGATCCAATGTGTGTGGAAGGAAAGGCCTCCTATGGGCTCCGATCACCCAGGTGGGTACCTGCCTATCAGCAGAAAGGCACAGGTTCCAGGATGTTACTGATAGTTTAGCAGTTTATTGCAAAATATGCTTCAAAAGCAAACTGAATCAAATGCAGGATCCATGAATACAAGGGAAAAGGCATGGAGATAAAACCACCTGAAAGACGTATATGGCTACAGTGGATAATGTGGGATATGTAAACAGGCAGTGCAAAATCAAAAGTAAGTTAGACATAGGTCTACAGCACAATCAGTCCCCAGTAGAGAAGACAACAGGGAGAGGAGAGATGAACAACGAAGCATCACAAATGCACCCGAAGCCCAAGGCGGCCCCGAGGAGAGCAGGCCGAGTGCCTGCTGGTAGCCCGTCGGAGCATTACAGGCGGGCAGGAGGGGCGGGGATAAAGCTCGCCTTATCCACATGGAGACATTGGTTGGAGGGGGCGCGGGTCCTGTTCAAGGTGTGGACTGATCATAAGGACTTGTAAACGCTTAAAACACCTCGGTGTCTTAATGCAAAGCAGCTCTGGTGGGCAGATTTCTTTTCCAAATTCCAGTTCACCCTGCATCACTTCCCCGGCTCCGCAAACTCTTTGGCCGACGCCCTGCCACGCCTACCCCAACACGATAGCCACCTGCCCTCCTACATCAGAGCTCAGTTCTAGTCCACAGAAGCTCTTTCACATCCACCTACCCAAGGATCCAGGTAGGGCTGCCATCCTCCAGGTGGAGCCTGGAATCACAACGGATCTCCAGGCTATAATGTTCCCCCGGAGGAGACGGCACCTTCCGAGGGCAGTCCTGGTGGAATTACACAACCCCTGAGCCCCCTCCCCACTAAACGCTGTCTTCTCCAGGCTATGCCCCCAGAGGAATTTCCCCAGCTGGAGCTGGCAGCCCTAGCACCCAGGAAGGCTAAAGAAGCAGGGCCCTTGTGCACCTCTCAGGCATCAGGCTCCCAAAGCCAAGGGGCAAGAGGAGGATGGGCCTTTGGAGGCTTCAAGGCACAGCATAGGGTTGCCAAGTCAACTTACCTTGGCGGCGGGGGAGCCTCGCCGGGCTCCGGGAGCTCTCCGGGGATGCGTGCACGCGTGCGCAAAGCGCCTGCATGCTGCCAGCACATCACAGGAAGTGACGCACTATGTCGCTCACATTGGGGGCGTGGCCCCGATCGTTGGAGGGGTTTTCCCCTCCGATGATCGGGGCCACGCCCCCAACGTGAGTGACGTGGTTGCGTCACCTCTGGTGACGCAACCACGCTGTGCTTCGGGGGCGGAGTTCCCCCCGGGGCCCGATTCCACGGTGGCGGAAACCGGGCCTCCAAAGCGTGGGGGTTTACCCGCCCCCCCGCCCCCACTTGGCAGCCCTAACACAGCAAGGCAGCACCTCCAAGCAGGGGGACCTGAAGGAGAGAAGGCTGTTGCGGGCCTGGCCTGCTTTCCTCCCAGACCTTTCCTAGATTTGTCTTGGTCAGAGGTGGATTCTTCCCTCCCTTCGTTGCCTACTTTGGCACCCAGGGGACAGGAAAACAGGATCTTCCAGTATCCCCCAGCAACGTACCAGTCAGAACTTTTATTGGCCACACCTCAGGCTGGTCTTCCTGTTGGTCAGCGCTGCAGACCTCCTGTGTCCCTCCCGGGGACTTTTTGCCTTCTCAGCCACCAGTAGGACATTCTGGAGACTTCCTATGAGGCGTTTCAGGCAAGGGATCCCTGGATAGCACGACTGCGCAGGAAGGGTGCCAGCTCCGGGTTGGGAGATCCCTGGAGATTGTGCGGGTGGCGTCTGAGGAGGGCGGGGCTTGGAGAAGGGAGGGGCTTCCGTGGGGCTTAATGCCAAAGCGGCCATTTCCCCCAGGTGACCTGGCCTCTGCCTGGAGATCAGTTGTGATCCCAGGAAATCTCCAGCCACCACCTGGAGGCTGGCAACCCTATTGTGCATGCAGACCACTGCGGAGGGGCCCTCTTGATGCCTGGGAAGAGCCTCCAGGCTTCTCACGGCATCTCAGCCCCTGCTGACCTTAACTCTGTTGGCACAGCTGATGCTCCCTCAAGCTGAGTCTGTGGATCCTTCCTGAAGTGACACAAAATAAGACCAAAGCCCAGCAATTTGTGCTCCCCCCTCACCCCATAATGTCGGGGGGGCGGGATCAGCTGGAGGCAGGTGTCTTTTGTTGTACAAGCTGTCCCCCCACGGCCACCCTGTTTAGAAGTTTTACCACCAGGAGATCTCCTGGCCTCACCAGGAAGTTGGCAGCCCTACGGCCTGAGTGGTTCTAGGGCCACAGAATCCTTAAGACCCCCCCACCCCCGGCCCCGGCCCGGCTGACACGGCCCAAGCGACTGATGGAATCTGTCCCGCCTTGTCTCTTTGTGGAGCTGCTCTGCTCTGCTGAAGGCGGGTGACAGACTGGCCAGCAGAAGGACGTCCATCCTGTGGGAGACTGAAGTGCTGCCATTTTTTACAATGTTTGGCAGTCCTTTGGCATAAAGAACGGCCGCCTTGTCCCATGTAAGCCGCCGCCGAAGGGTGTTCTCTTGCAAGCGGAAATGTCAGTAGAGGTCAGTCAAAATGTAAGGACAGGTCACTTTTTTTATTGCTGACAAGGTGGACAGATTTAGGTGGTCTATTCCCCCCCCCCAGGGCTCAGAGAAGGGCAATTTCAAGGCCCTGCAGAGTTTATTCCACATTTCCTTAGTGCAGAGAAGCTTCTGGATGGCAGGTGCCGTCGTTGTTTCCCTGACTCGGGGCCTTTTAAAGGTGTGCCCGGACCGGTCAGCCGCTGAGAAGCTGTGGGTGAGTTAAGGGCCGTCCAGTCGCTTCTGGCCTGTGGTGACCCTATGGACGAAGGGCCTCCAAAATGTCCTACCTACCATTCACAGCCTTGCTCAAGCTTTCTGGATGGAGTCCATCCATTTGGGTTGGGTTTCCCTTTTTCCCAGCTGCCTTCAATGTTTCCTGGCATGATTGTCTCCTTGTCTCCTCGCAATGTAGCCAGCCTTATTCCATGATATCCACCCCTTCTAAATCACCAGCCGTTCAGAAACTTTTTGTAAATTCAAGCAGCAGTTTAGCAAATGATTGAAAATCTGCATCAATGCTATGTATATTTACAGTCTGCTTGGCTTCCCGAATCTTGGGTGATGTAACTGCTTCTTTGTGGCCAACTGAACTAGGTTCTGGTCGAGTGAAAAGTCCAAGTAATGTCAAAATAGCAGACATTTCTATTTACATTTATTTGTTATGATTTATTGGCATTGACAGTGTTTTATGTATCTACGGTGAAATGGTTGGTTGTCATCTGTAACTGATTTAAAAAGGAGAAAATATAAGACGTGATGTAGAGCGTTGTCAATAAACCTCCCTCCTGTGTGCATGCCCTTGTGTGCCCATGGCCAGTCCATTTTTTATAAAGTGCTCCCTGTATTTTTGTTGGAGCCATCTGGCAGTCCTACACCCCTCCCGCGTGCTGCCGCTGTCTTCCGAGTGAAACAAAATGGGCGGGATTCAGCCACAGTCTCACGCAGCTTCCCTCCCTCGCTACAGTCCCAATCCCACCCTTTGGAACATGCAGATCCCATGGTTCTCAGCATAGTATTTTGGGGAAGGCCAAGCAGGACCTCCTCTGGTTGGAGATTTGTGTGTGTGTGTGGAGTCTGGTGAGGCTGGGGTTTGAGGAGGGAAAGGGCCTTAGTGGGGTACGGTGCCATAGACTCCACCCTCCAGAGCAGCCATTTCCTCCAAGGGAATTGTCCTCTGTCACCTGGAGCTCAGTTGTAATTCTGGAAGACCTCGCTTGGCCTCACTGCCCTCGCTTGGCAACGTGCCCTCACGGGCATGTGAGGGGGGAGAGGGGTGGGGGGAAGGCTTCACTAGGGCCTGGCCTGAGGGCCACCCATTCAAAGGGCAGCATTCCAAAGTACACTTTCTTGGGAGTAGATCCGTTGACTCAGATGGGAGTATGGCAGTCCTTGTGCACAGACATCCTGAGAAGCAGGCCTGTGAGGCATGGGCCTTCGGAACTGTCCTGTCGGATCTGGATCTGGGCACCAACGGGGAAAAGGGGAAAGACTTCCTCTGTGCCTGAAGGAGTCCAAGGGCCAGGCTGACCATGGTTCACGCACCTCCGTGCTGGCTGGCTGGCTGCCCTCGTTCGCAGCTCCCTGCTATGGGAGCCTGGCCTGGTGTGGGAATGTGGCCCGGCCGGGGTGGGGTGGAGTGGCGGGTTCCCTGTGTCGCCCAGAGGGCAGCATCCCGGCAGGGACCGGGGTGGGAGCCGGCTGCTGTAGCCCGAGCAGGCCTGCGTTGGCATCCTGGCTAGGAAGCAGGGTGGGCTCTGAGCTGGCAGCCCTGGCCCTCCCCTGCCTCACACAGAGGTGCCCTGCCGGGCTGGAGCCCCAGCTTCTGGTGCCGCTCTGCAGCCCCTGGTGCAGTTGCTGTGTTCTTTCTCCCCTCCCCTGGACCAAAGAGCCAAGCTTGCTGAGCTCCCATCTTTGGCAGGGCTGCCCCTGATTGTCTGCAGGGCCCGTGGTTCTCCGTGGCCATATAAGGAGAGCCCCACTGGCTTGACAGCTGATCGAAACCAGTCAAGCTCTTGTGCGGTGCCGTGCCGGGCCCTGCTGCTTGAAGGCCCCGGGAATTCTGGCTCTCTCTCCCCCGGGGAAGATTGGTCTGCCGCCTCCTGTTGCTGTCTTCTGCCAGTGGGCAAAGACTTTCCCCCCTTTCATTTGGCGTTCTCTTAGTGATCCTGACCAGTGTTCCCTCTGAGCTGAGTTAGTGTGAGCTAGCTCACAGTTTTTTAGCCTCCAGCTCACACGTTTTTGTCTTCGCTCAGGAAAGATGGCTCCAGAGCAAACTAATTTATGCAGCAGCCAAATCGCTCGCTCGCAACTTTAATGCCAGTAGCTCACAAGGCAGAATTTTTGCTCACAGGACTCCGCAGCTTAGAGGGAGCATTGATCCTGACCAATCCTTCCTGGCCAATTTTTAATCTAATTCTTAAATTGTTTAAATTGTTTTGATTATCTATGTTTGAGGGGTTGTTTTAAAGTGTGATTTTATTATGTATATTTTAATTTGTTAACCATTTTGGTGGGCTTTGTGAGGGCAGAAATTTGGCAAATAAATAAATGTGAGCAACCAGTATTTCTCTTCCAAGACATAAACATTTGGATCAAGGACAGGGGATTTTTTAAGCCTTGCATAGACAGGAAACTCACATGGAAAGAACACCTGTCTAGGTATTTGCTCTATTAACACAACAGATCCCCTGTGCTGCACAAAGGAAAAGGGGCAGGAGGCAAAAGAGCCCGTTGGTGCCGCAGAAAAGAGCAGATATTTACTGAATTAATCATTGCCATGTGTTTCACATCGCCTTCACTACGGGGTAAATCTAGTGAAGTATCTAGGAAATCTAGGAAGTCCAGAGGTGCTGAGCAGAGGCCGGCAATGGCAAACCACCTCTGAACGCCTCTTGCCTTGGAAGCCCCGCAGGGATCACCATAAGTCAGCTTCGACTTGACGTCCCTCCCCACCCCCACCCCACCCCCGTGCTTGTTGTTGGAAATATGTGTGTGTTGCAAGGTCTAATTCAGTCATTATAGGGTTAATCTGTTTACCTTGTGTGGTATTGCTTAGGCTGACCTGGAAGGGAAACTTGGCCCAGAGCCAATGGGAAGAAAGCCCAGGAAATCTGTTTAATCGCAATCATTGGTTAATGTATTCAGGTGATTTCCTTCTAGGAATCAAGAAGAAGAAGAATCTCCATTTTTATTTTTATTTTTGCTGCTGTTGTTGTGAGACCGTGTGGTCGGGCTGGTTCTGTAGCTGTAGAGATGTAGCCTTAGGTCTTTGTTATTTTGTAGATTTTCCTGTGTACCCTTCCCTTAGAAAGATATTTACAGAGGAAGAAATGCCTCCTCTCCAGTGAAGCAAGTTTTACAGAGAAAGAAATGCCTCCTCTCCAGTGAAGCACAGATCCATTGCAAACTCTGAATCTCTAAGTATTTTTGCCAATTTCCCTAACTCTCGTGTACAGTGGGGCAGGCACTAACAACACCTCCCCTCCTAACACGTCTCCCTATTTGTCAATGCTGATATCAAGATCAGCAGAGAGGCTGCCTGGCTACCGGTCAGCAATGCCAACACAAGGCCTCGAATCTGCACCCCCTGCCTGGCATCACTGGCACGGCCGGCTGATGGTCTCTGCTCCTCCGGGGGCAATTTTATCTGACCTCTGCCGGTCCTGCCAGAGAATAGTCTTGATGCAATGAACAGGTGCCCTGCAGGTTCAGCGTTACAAGGAACAGAACGTGGCCTCTCTCTCTTGCATCACGAATGAAAAGTCCAGCCTCCGACTGAGCCAATCCTCTGCTGCAGCCCAGAAGGGCTTCGTGGGCAGTGGCCCCCATGGCACCACAGAGGCGGCTGCGCGTGAAGGAGTGTGCACTTGTGGGCCCTCCCTGCCCCGGGTGCCTCTGCAAACCTCTGCTGTGGCCACCAGGCTCCGCTGCCTCTGTGTGGAGCAACTGGCGGAAGGGGTGGGCCGGAGAGGGCGCGAGGGAAGGGGGCAGCCTGCAGGGACGAAGAGAAGGTGAGATTTCATGGGGCCCTGGCTAGCATTTCATCAGTGCCTGTCAATGAGAATCCTCTCGGAAACGCCTGGGGGAGGGCCACGTGGGGGCTCCCCTCCCGTCTCAGTTGGCTGGAGCTTTGAGTCTTGCGTCTGCCTGTGTGTGTGCACGCGTGGGCACGAGAGAGAGTGGGTGCACAGGAAGGACCTATCTCTCTCGTGGCCTCTCTGCCACAGAGGCACTGAAATGGATGAGCCTGTGGAGGGAGACATGGTTTAGCTCTGCCCCGCTCAGTGAGCTTTGCTGGTTCTGACCTCCTTGCAAACCCTGCTCAAACTGTGCTGCTCACCCAGCCCCTGTTTCTGTCTTCCTCTTTCCAGCCTCACTCACCTCGTCTGCCACACTTGCTTCAAGCGGCACGAGAAACTCCACCGCTGCGGCCAGTGCAAGTTTGCCCATTACTGCGATCGGACCTGCCAGAAGGAGGGCTGGGCGAAGCACAAGAGTGAGTGCTCTGCCGTCAAGAAGCAGGGGAAGGCACCCAACGAAAACATCCGGTGAGAGACACCACAGAGGCTCCACACTGAGCCTGCTCTGCACTAGGCCTTCCATGGCCCAGGAACTGATCGGCCAGTGATATGAGCCCTGCCCACTTAGGCCAAATCTGCATCTAGCATTTGCTCGGCTGTCTTACCAAACCCAGGCTGGAACAGAAACCCCCCTCTGCATGGCATGCCACTTTCACTTTGATTGATGGTCGAGTTTTATGGCAGCGTCCAGACTGCAGGCCCCTTTCACTTCGTCTGCACAGATTTATGGCCGTTTTGTGGCTGTTCAGGGGTGACTCTGCAGTCAGTACGGCGGCGGCGGCGTTGGGCACGAGGTATTTGAATGTGGTTCTGAGCCGCATCTTTCCCTGCTCCAGCGTGGGTTTGGTACAACAACGGAGCAAATGCTAGATGCCGATTGGGCCTTACTTACTCCTAGCGGTGCCACTGTGCCACATCTCAGTCCTGCAAATCCAAGCAGCCTGTTTTACGTATGCTGCAAATGGCTGTCTAATTCTACCAGTCAAGTAAGCTGTGGGTTTCACTGTCTGTTGTATCACTTGCTATGTGTTTCCTCATGTCAAGTCTTGCAAAAAGGAACCTGGGGAAGGGTCAAGGGAAGCACCTTTCCCCGAACGCTTTGCTCACCGCAGGATTTCAGGCGGTGGGATTGCCAGCTCCACTTCCTGGGGAGGGACCTCAGTCGGGTGTCCGGCACCCTCCCCTCCCCTCCCCAGCAGCCCCCGGGAGCCTTGCAACCCTGTCAGCGGGTGGGGGGCTGATGGGGCTGCGGGCACACAGGTGGCCTGGGGCACCAGCGGGGACACCTCTCCTTCCGGGTCCTCTGCGTGTGCCCAGGCGGGACACGGAGCCAGCTCTCTCTCTCTCTCTCTCTCTCTCTCTCTCTCTCTCTCTCTCTCTCGGCTTTTCGGTCCCAGAGAGGTCAGTGCCGGTGGGAAGCCGAGGAGAGGTCCGCCTGGCAAGCTTCCTGCTGCCTCTGAAGCCCCCCCCCCCCCGGTCACAGGGCTTCAAAGACCAGTGGGGGGAAATTCCGCAACCCCGTCAGTCCTCGACAAAAGGCAAACGTGGGCTAGGCAGCCACGGGCATTCCCCTCACAGAGGCACAGGGGCCGGGAAAGCCCAGAGGTGTGGTGACAGCTGGGGCTGGAGGGGCAACAGCGGCATCGCCATGCCCTGGCCAGGGCCAGGCAGCCACGCTCCTTCCCGGATGGGCTGCCCTTCTCGGAAAGGCCTCTGCAGCCACCTGTGGCCCGGCCAGAGCAGGCCTGGGGCTCCGGAGGCATCCTCCTCCCCTTCTCCGTGGGGACGGGGAGCACTCGCGGCGCTATCTCCTGGGGCACGGCGGAGCTCCGGAGGGGGAGAGAAGAAGGACTCTGCGGAAGCCTCTGCTGTTGCCCGTCAAGAAGGAGAGGCCGTCTCAGGAGCGGAGAAAGAGTGAGGGGAGTGCGGCTGGAGCAGAAGAACCGTTTTAGACAGAGTAAAAGGCCCCGGAGGAGGAGGGAGGAGGGAGGCCAGAGGGCCAGGTGGGAAGAAGCCTCTGAGGGCCAGGCTGCGTCCCACGGCCAGCAGTTGTCTGCCTGAACCCTCAGCCCCTGAGAGCAGGGTGGCCAGGCCCTTCCAAGTCCCCGGCGGGGGCGGGGGGGGGGGGGGACGATAACTTTGGGGGGAGTTCCTGGAGGGGGCAGGGACGTCCCCAATGTGATGACATCACAGAGAAGTGGCATCATCACATTGGGGGCCGCACCCCCGCTTAAATGCTTTTGGCAAGAGGCTCCCCCCCCGTACCTGGAGGGCAGGTGCATGGCCCCCGCCTCTTCCCGACAGCATTTAAAGGGAGGCACCTGGACTCCACCTGGACTCTAAGCTGCGAATTTGCGGCCTGGGGGGGCAGGGGGGCAGGCACTTCCCAAGATGTTGGGAAGAAGTGGGAGGGGGGAGAGGGCAGGTGCAAGATTTAAATGGGCAGCTGGAGGGCCGGAGGGTTGCTCTTGGGGGTGAGGCTCCCCCCTGCTGGCCAGCTGGCTGGTGGCGGGAAGGAGCCCCCCCAGATCGGGGAAATCCCTGCTGAGGCCAGGGGTCTGTCGCAACCCCGCCCGAGAGAGGGATGCTGCTCTCCTGGCTGCCACCCAAAGAGGATCCAAGGACGATCCCCGCTGTAGGTTTCATTGACAACCCTAAATCCCAGCGGGGGCTGGGAAAGGGGGGTAGGGGGTGGGAGTTCCTCTGCCCACCCCCACCCCCAGAAATGGCTAGCCTGGCTCTCTGGGCCCACGGGGGCCGTTGTGCTTTTGCCGCACTCATGAGACATGCCCTGGAGCCTCTGTGCCCAGGTCCTGGCACTCCTGGCGTCGACCAAAGTCGCTGCCCTCGGCTCTCTCCAGCCCCCCCCTCCCCAGCCTTTTTGCCACCAGCAGGTCGGTTCTCAGGGATGTTGCCTAGCTGGGGGGGGGTCTGCGGCCCCCAGCCTCCTCTCACTGCCTGTCTCGCAACAGACCTTCATGCCGCCTGTAGCAGCATCTCCCTCTCAGTCCAAATTGCTGTTGAGGGACTGAACTCCCCCCCCCACTCCTGGTGGGTGGGGGGCTGAACGGGACTTAATGTGGTTTACAGAGATCAAATGATTCCAATTTCGGGGGGGGAGAAATTTTGTCTCAAATAACATAAGCGAAGAATGGCCAATATTTACATAGGAGTGCACAGACTTAAAACATCTAAAATGTCAAGATATGCAAAGGAGTTTCTGAGGCCAGTATATCTGTACCCTGTGCCATGCCGTCACCCAGACATATCTAGTTGGTTAAAGGGGCTGCGAGCATGTATGGTGTTATATCCCTAGATATAAACTCTGTAGTCAGGAGGGGGTGCATTAGGGGTGGTGTTGATGTGAGTGGAGATACTGGGTCATAGGGCTAACTTTAAAGTAGAAGGTGTACTGCTATCCACCTGACCAAAACCATCGTAAGATAAAGCAGAAAACAGTGGAAGTGAGTAAAGTGGAAATGGTTGTGATACTGTGTGACTTCAGCTATCCTCACATCAATGAGCAAATATAACCAAGTTGTTCAACAGAAATGAGTTTCCCAGGGATTCTAAAGGACTGTGCCTTGCAACAGCTGGTCCACAGAGCTGACTTAGGGAGGGGTAGTGGCCCTGGAGAAGGAAATGGCAACCCACTCCAGTATTTTTGCCAAGAAAACCCCATGGACAGTATCAAAAGGCTAAAAGATATGACGCCGGAAGATGAGCCCCTCAGGTCGGAAGGTGTCCAATATGCTACTGAGGAAGAGCAGAGGGCAAGTACAAGTAACCCCAGAAAGAGTGAAGCGGCTGGGCCAAAGCCGAAAGGACGCTCAGTTGTGGATGTGTCTGGTGGTGAAAGGAAAGTCCGATGCTGCAAAGAACAATACTACATAGGAACCTGGAATGTAAGATCTATGAATCAAGGTAAGCTTGACGTGGTCAAAAATGAGATGGCAAGACTGAACATCGATATCTTAGGAATCAGTGAACTAAAGTGGACAGGAATGGGCGAATTTAACTCAGAAGACCATTATATCTACTACTGTGGCCAGGAATCTCGTAGAAAAAATGGTGTGGCCTTTATAGTCAACAAGAGAGTGCAAAAGTCAGTACTGGGATATAATCTCAAAAATGACAGAATGATTTCTGTCCGATTCCAAGGCAAACCATTCAACATCACAGTAATCCAAGTCTATGCCCCAACCACTGATGCAGAAGAGGCTGAAGTGGACCGGTTCTATGAAGACCTACAACATCTCATAGAACTAACACCAAAAAATGATGTCCTCATCATCATAGGGGACTGGAATGCTAATGTAGGAAGTCAAAAGGTAACCGGAATAACAGACAAGTTTGGCCTTGGAAAGCAAAATGAAGCAGGGCAAAGGTTAACAGAGTTTTGTCAAGAGAACACACTGGTCATAGCGAACACCCTTTTCCAACAACCTAAGAGGCGACTCTACACATGGACATCACCAGATGGGCAACACCGAAATCAGATTGACTATATAATTTGCAGTCAAAGATGGAGAAGCTCTATCCAGTCAGTAAAAACAAGACCTGGAGCTGACTGTGGTTCAGATCATGAGCTACTCATTGCAAAATTCAGACTTAAACTGAAGAAAATCGGGAAAACCATGAGGCCATTCAGGTTTGACCTAGATCACATCCCTGATGAATATACAGTAGAGGTGAAGAATAGATTCAAGGGTCTGGATTTGATAGATAGAGTGCCTGAAGAACTATGGACAGAGGTTCGTGACATCGTACAGGAGGCAGCAATCACCACCATCCCAAAGAAAAAGAAATGTAAGAAAGCAAAGTGGCTTTCTGATGAGGCTTTACAAATAGCAGAGGAAAGAAGGAAAGCGAAAGGCAAAGGCGAAAAGGAAAGATTTACCCAACTGAACGCAGATTTCCAGAGAACAGCAAGGAGAGATAAGGAGGCCTTCCTGAATGAACAGTGCAAAGTAATAGAAGAAAACAATAGAATGGGAAGGACTAGAGATCTCTTCAAGAAAGTTGGAGAAATCAAGGGAGCGTTCCATGCAAAGCTGGCCATGATAAAGGACAAAAACGGTAGGGACCTAACAGAAGCAGAAGAGATTAGGAAAAGATGGCAAGAATACACAGAAGAACTATACAAGAAAGACCTCAATGTCCTTGACAAACACGACGGTATAATCACTGACCTTGAGCCAGACATCCTGGAATGTGAAGTTAAATGGGCCTTAGAAAGCATTACTAACAACAAAGCTAGTGGAGGTGATGGTATTCCAGCTGAGCTATTCAAAGTCTTAGAAGATGATGCTGTTAAAGTTCTGCACTCCATTTGCCAGCAAATTTGGAAAACGCAACAGTGGCCACAGGATTGGAAAAGATCAGTATACATTCCAATCCCAAAGAAGGGCAATGCCAAGGAATGTTCAAACTATCGCACAATTGCACTCATATCACACGCTAGCAAG